CAAACTTTCTGTTCCAAACTTTCACAAGCCAACTTAAAGTTTGTCTCGACGAACTTTTTAATCTAGTTAAGTTGGCTTGGGAAAGCCAACTTACTGAAATGCTATTTAAACTTATTATTATTATTCTTCTTCTTCTTACTCAAAAATTTGCAACTCTATCTCCTCCTAGAGCTTTAACTCCACATACTCCAAACTCGGCACGGACACTCAAACTGATCTGACTCGGTGTGCTATATCTTTTCTAACTGATCGGACTTACGGTTTTCCTAAAAATGACGATCAAAGTCGGAAAAAACTCCCATTGACTTCCATTGAGAAATTCAAACTGCCCAACTGTCAAAAATTCAAATCTAAATACCTTGAAGCCCCAGACTCAATCAAACTGTCATTCTATACACTATATGAGCCATTGAAACTCATTTAAACTAATGAACTCATCTATCTATGACACTTATCTATCTAATCTTAAACTCTTAAACTCAAACTAAATTAATAAACTCTAAACTTGAAACTCTTAGACTCATTTAAACTTATAAACTCTAAACTCATAAACTCTAAATTCATAAACTCATACTCTTATAAACTCTCATAAAACTATTAAACTCATAAATGAATAAACTCTGGACACTTACTCAATTTAAACTTATAAACTCTAAACTCATAAACTCTAAATTCACACCATAGCAACCAGTTACAGCACCCTAGCAACCGTAGGCCATAGGCACGAGGCCGCAGGCCTCGTGCAATACTAAATATTGCTGATTTCTCAGAAACTTGTAATGTACCACATTTGAAGAGGCTGACAGGCTCTGTAAGAAAATACCTCACAGTGGGGAATAGTTGCACCCCTGGGGGCAGGAGCTGCCCAAAATTGCCCCATTGACTTACATGAAATGGCCGTCCTACACATTGCATTAGGGTTTTATATTGAACATAGCTCTGGATCAACAGTGTCATAGAGACAAAGGGGCGGGCTCATTTTACTCATACGACCAATCAGTCTCTCAGGATCATTGTGTAGCTATCAAGCCACGCCCTAGCAACCATTTAGAGCACCTTAGCAACAACTCCAATAGACTTCCATTGAAATAGATTGAAGGGATATCTCCGGATAGAAGTGTCATAGAAATATGTGGGTGGTCTCGTTTGACTCCGGGTAGCAACAGAGCCAACATGAATCACCTCAACAATTTCTGGCCACGCCCCTAGCAACAATTAACAAGTACCTTAGCAACCAAATTTCTAAAGAGGGATATCTTCCATTCTGAATGTCACAGAGTCATGAGAGTTGATTTATAGTGACAAGCAGCCTTTGGAGATTCATCGCTGGCAGCTGCCAAGCCACTCCCTAGCAACTAAACAGAGTACCCTAAGCAACCATTAAGCAAGATTTATATCTCTGCATCAGAACAATGTATAGAGATGGGGGTTGGTTTAAAATCATTCATACTGACAAGCAGCCTTTGGAGTTTCATGATTGGCAGCTGTCAAGTCAATCCCTAGCAACCAAAGAGAGGACCCTAGCAACCATTTTTTAACAGCTATATCTCAGCATCAGAACATTGTATCGCGATGGGGGTTTGGGTCTTTTGACTCATGCTAGCACACAGGACTTTCAATATGCTAAACATGCTAGCTGTGAATAGCTAAATGCTAATATGGATACTTTATAGTAACCATATGTGAACACTACCAACCAAGTAGCAATACCATAGCAACCACCCAGGACACCCTAGCAACCACCTAGCAACACCATAGCAACCACCCAGAATACCCTAGCAACCACCTAGCAACACCATAGCAACCATCCAGAACACCTTAGCAACTACCTAGCAACACCCTAGCAACCACCAGATAACCCTAGCAACTGCCTAGCAACACCATAGCAACCATCCAGAACACCCTAGCAACCACCTAGCAACAGCCTAGCAACCACCAAGAACACCTTAGCAACACCCTAGCAACCGCCTAGCAACACCAATAGCAACCACCCAGAACACCCTAGCAACCACCCTAGCAACCACCATAGCATAGCAACACCATAGCAACCACCCCAGAATACCTAGCAACTGCCTACAAACACCATAGCAACCACCCAGAACACCCTAGCAACCGCCTAGCAACACCCTAGCAACCACCAAGAACAGCCTAGCAACTGCCTAGCAACCCATAGCAACCACAATAGTAACTCTATCTATCTATCTATCTATCTATCTATCTATCTCTCTAACTCTATCTCTATCTATCTATCTATCTATCTATCTATCTATCTATCTATCTATCTATCTATCTTTAAACTAAGTTAAACTTAATTTAAACTTTAGACTAATTTAAACTTCAAAACTACTTTAAACTTCTTCAAACTTTCTGTTCCAAACTTTCACAAGCCAACTTAAAGTTTGTCTCGACGAACTTTTTAATCTAGTTATTCTTCTTCTTCTTACTCAAAAATTTGCAACTCTATCTCCTCCTAGAGCTTTAACTCCACATACTCCAAACTCGGCACGGACACTCAAACTGACCTGACTCGGTGTGCTATATCTTTTCTAACTGATCGGACTTACGGTTTTCCTAAAAATGACGATCAAAGTCGGAAAAAACTCCCATTGACTTCCATTGAGAAATTCAAACTGCCCAACTGTCAAAAATTCAAATCTAAATACCTTGAAGCCCCAGACTCAACCAAACTGTCATTCTATACACTATATGAGCCATAGAAACTCATTCAAACTAATGAACTCATCTATCTATGACACTTATCTATCTAATCTTAAACTCTTAAACTCAAACTAAATTAATAAACTCTCAACTTAAACTCTCTAAGACTCATTTAAACTTATAAACTCTAAACTCATAAACTCTAAATTCATAAACTCATACTCTTATAAACTCTCATAAAACTATTAAACTCATAAATGAAGAAACTCTGGACACTTACTCAATTAAACTTATAAACTCTAAACCCATAAACTCTAAATTCGCACCATAGCAACCAGTTACAGCACCCTAGCAACCGTAGGCCATAGGCACGAGGCCGCAGGCCTCGTGCAATACTAAATATTGCTGATTTCTTAGAAACTTGTAATGTACCACATTTGAAGAGGCTGACAGGCTCTGTAAGAAAATACCTCACAGTGGGGGAATAGTTGCACCCCTGGGGGGCAGGAGCTGCCCAAAATTGCCCCATTGACTTACATGAAATGGGCCGTCCTACACATTGCATTAGGGTTTTATATTGAACATAGCTCTGGATCACAGTGTCATAGAGACAAAGGGGCGGGCTCATTTTACTCATACGACCAATCAGTCTCTCAGGATCATTGTGTAGCTATCAAGCCACGCCCTAGCAACCATTTAGAGCACCTTAGCAACAACTCCAATAGACTTCCATTGAAATAGATTGAAGAGATATCTCCGGATAGAAGTGTCATAGAAATATGTGGGTGGTCTCGTTTGACTCCGGGTAGCAAAGGGCCAACCATGAATCACCTCATCAATTTCTGGCCACGCCCTAGCAACAATTAACGAGCACCTTAGCAACCAAATTTTAAAGAGGGATATCTTCCATTCTGAATGTCACAGAGTCATGAGAGTTGATTTATAGTGACAAGCAGCCTTTGGAGATTCATCGCTGGCAGCTGCCAAGCCACTCCCTAGCAACTAAACAGAGTACCCTAGCAACCATTAAGCAAGATTTATATCTCTGCATCAGAACAATGTATAGAGATGGGGGTTGGTTTAAATCATTCATACTGACAAGCAGCCTTTGGAGTTTCATGATTGGCAGCTGTCAAGTCAATCCCTAGCAACCAAAGAGAGGACCCTAGCAACCATTTTTAACAGCTATATCTCAGCATCAGAACATTGTATCGCGATGGGGGTTGGGTCTTTTGACTCATGCTAGCACACAGGACTTTCAATATGCTAAACATGCTAGCTGTGAATAGCTAAATGCTAATATGGATACTTTATAGTAACCATATGTGAACACTACCAACCAAGTAGCAATACCATAGCAACCACCCAGGACACCCTAGCAACCACCTAGCAACACCATAGCAACCACCCAGAATACCCTAGCAACAACCTAGCAACACCATAGCAACCATCCAGAACACCTTAGCAACTACCTAGCAACACCCTAGCAACCACCAGATAACCCTAGCAACTGCCTAGCAACACCATAGCAACCACCCAGAACACCCTAGGCAACCACCTAGCAACAGCCTAGCAACCACCAAGAACACCTTAGCAACTGCCTAGCAACACCCTAGCAACCACCAAGAACACCCTAGCAACTGCTAACAACACCATAGCAACCACCCAGAACACCCTAGCAACCGCCTAGCAACACCATAGCAACCACCCAGAACACCCTAGCAACCACATAGCAACACCATAGCAACCACCCAGAATACCCTAGCAACTGCCTAGCAACACCATAGCAACCACCCAGAACACCCTAGCAACCCGCCTAGCAACACCCTAGCAACCACCAAGAACAGCCTAGTAACTGCCTAGCAACACCATAGCAACCACAATAGTAACTCTATCTATCTATCTATCTATCTATCTATCTATCTATCTATCTATCTATCTATCTATCTATCTATCTATCTATCTATCTATCTATCTCTCTAATCTCTCTACCTATCTCTATCTATCTATCTATCTATCTATCTATCTATCTATCTATCTATCTATCTATCTATCTATCTATCTATCTATCTATCTATCTATCTATCTATCTTTAAACTAAGTTAAACTTAATTTAAACTTTAGACTAATTTAAACTTCAAACTACTTTAAACTTCTTCAAACTTTCTGTTCCAAACTTTCACAAGCCAACTTAAAGTTTGTCTCGACGAACTTTTTAATCTAGTTGTTGACTGTATTTTCTATTGTTATTATTAATTTCACCATTAACTTTACTTTTACTGGTATTTTTTCTTTTATTTTCACCCCCCCCCCACACACTTTTCTGTCTACAGAGATGGTGTTTATGCACCTGAGTTGTGTAGGTTTATGCTGCGCAGGTTGGGGAAGAGTCTATGTAGGGAGTCCTCAGGCTCGAGGATAGACGAGAGAGAGTTGTTTGCCAGGATAAGAGACTCCAGGCCCGGATATATGAGGCCCAGCTTACGCACCTCCACCCATTGCTGCAGCTGGTTATCTGTGATATGCAGCAGGCGCAGGGATGGGTACGATATAGATGACACACTCACACTCTCATAGTCGTTCAGACACAGAAACAACTCCTCCAGCCTACATACAAACAACCACAAGAAAAACACAAGATTTAGTGCATGACAAAATGATGGGTGTCTACTTCCTGCAAGTAGTGCGATACGGTAGCCGCACAATGCTAAAAATAATCTCTTTGCAGTTACTCTCTGAAAAAAGAAAAAGTGCATTTAAACACAAAAATATTGAGTTTGGTATAATCTTATATTTCTTGGGAAAAATATTTTAACAAAATTGCTTAATACTTGGTATAGTGTTTAAAAACATTTTGATTAAAATCAAGTTAATGCTTTTAAGAGCACTCCAAAACATCAGGCACTGGCAAAACATCTGCTTTATGTTGCTTGCAAAAAATATAATTACATATGGCTACTTTAAATTATCTGTCAATTGCAATTTATTATGGCCCCAAGAATTATGTAATTAAGTAATGTATAAAGCAGTGGCTTACAAGGCATTGCTAACCAGCTAAACCATCACTAGAGCGAGTTTAGGGTGATACAACATGTTTGTCCAAACAATGAATGCTTTGGGGGAAAAAATATATACTTTAGCTAAAACACAGACATGTAAAAAAAAGCTATAATTTGCCAGTTCAGACTAAGGCCACTGAAATGTTAAAACACACACACACACACACACACACACACACACACTTACTCTGGGGTCTCTCGCGTAAGTGTGTGCACCATGTCCCAGGTGACATACGTGTTATTGAGCACAAGGCGGCGAAGGCCTGAGAATGCTTCGGCAGTTCCAGGCTCCAGACTCGACCCTCTCAATGGATTCATACTCAGATTGAGAAAGTCTAGATTAGGGATGTTAAACAGGATCTTGCTTATCTACATAGAGGAATGGAAGAGAGAGAAAAGAATGAATAACTGAACGAACCCAACCAGTTTGTCTTGTCGAGCTTGTGTCACGTAGCAGACCTCTATTTCATTATACTGTTGAAAATACACTTGTCAAAGTAAAGGTGTGGTAACATTAGCCAAATATGGCCAGCAAAAAAGGTGCACTGTCAATAAAGTAGTGATACACAGCACTGCTCAGACAGAAGTCACTTCCAAAGCAAGCAGTAATACTATTTTGTTGGTCAAAGTGGTGCATTTGTCTGAACAAAACCTGAACCCGATGCTAAATCCCGATGGGAAATATTTTTAAAAAATCGCATTCAAAATTCCTGAATGTGCGGATTCCTATTGAAATGACTGGATTTTATTGCTTTATGTTTATTTTCAATGTGACTGTCCACCAACTATCAGACTAATGAAATCAGCTAATACTTTAGAATAAGGTTCTATATGTTACCATAATTTAATTAAACGTTAACAGCATTTATTAATCTTGGTCAATGTTCATTTCTACATTAACTAATAGATTTTTAAAATGTACATGTTGATATTCATTGTTGGTCCATGATACCTTATGTATTAGGTAATGTTAATGAATTAAATATTATTGAATCTCACAGTAAGTATTACCTATATCTTATTGTGACATCGAATGGGAATGTTATTTGTGTTAAATAAACAAATGTACAAATTATTAATAAATGCAAACACCAGAGACACAAACACCTTTTTCTCACCTCTCCCCAGTCTTTAAAATGGTTGTGGGAGAGGTCTAGCTCAACCACGTGAGCACAGAAAGTGGCCACCTCCTCTTCATCTCCGGCCTCTGTAATTCCACAACCATCCAGAACTAGGATGCTGGGCAGATTTAGACGATCTAACACACACAAACGCACACACACACACACACACACAGATATAAATGGCATTTTAAAAAACAGGTTAATGTAATTATATGATTAAAACTCATAAACAATTTAAGATACAAATATTTTATATTTATTAAAACATTATTTGTTTACAGGATTAACATATATTTGGACTAACCTTTAGTTTTTGGCTCTAGAATACATTATGTGCCCTTCAACAGTTCTACCAACTTAGCAAAACAGTGTTAAATGGCAACAACAAGTGTATCAGGATTCAGTTTATATCTAACACACCCTCTTTAACTAGGAGGCTCAGCATTTCACCCAAAGCCAAAAATAAAACTGACCTTTGACAGGTGAACCCTGGGGACTCGACCGGATCACCACTCCAGCTCCTGGCCCACGGCAGTATGGGAAGTTTTCTGGGCTGTACTTCTCACTGATCACCTGCACTAAAGTGCGTCCTTCTGTCTCCTCTGTCTCCATCTCACCTGTCCTCCTACTCTCACACCTTCAGCTGAGCAAACATGGAGTAGCATGTATGTGTATCATTCATTTGATTGTACCATCGGTTCCAGTAAAACATGTTTTTATCATTTTTGTGGATGAATGGACAAGCATGTCCTTGAATGACATGATTTGCTAACATTAGAATAAGTTTGTTTGGAATTTTCAACCATTTGTCAAAGGTTAGTAAAAGTTTAAAAGAGCTGACATTTGGGTCAATGACACTGTCAGTCCACGATAAAAAAGGAAAAATCTAGTTTAAAACACATGTGCCAAGTTCAATTTGTACTTCATGTATTTGTACACTTTGTATTCATGTTGGTTTTATATGGCTTTGATTTTTTTTTTAAAATACCATTTACAAGAGAAGTTTCAATTTAATGACTTGTATCATGGGGTGGTGATGGCGCAGTGGATAAGACACATGCCTTTGGTGTGAGAGACACGGGTTCAAACCAATATGTCCCTGAGCAAGACACTTAACCCCTAGTTGCTCCAGAGGCGTGCGACCTCTGACATATATAGCAATTGTAAGTCGCTTTGGATAAAAGCATCAGCTAAATGAATAAATGTAAATATCAAGTGGTGTAAAAAGCAAGGAAAAAAAATCTTCCCTTAAACATTAAATACACATAAGTGTACATATCTTAAGCAATACTTTTAATATACATATATTTTAAGGTCATTTTTTTATAAATATGAATTATTATTTAATAAATAGATTTACATTTTTGGGGAGTCTTTTCTAAGATCTATACCACATGACCAGATAAAATAGAACAACAAACAAACGTGAAAACATTTATATATATATATGTGTGTGTGTAAAATATATAAATGCAAAGCTACACACATTTGAATGATTTTAACTAATTAACCATCACAAAAAAATTATCATCATTGATCCTTTTTTCACTTGAATCAATGTTTAAATGACCAAAACACTAATACTCCACACTAAAATGCAATTGATTTCTATATTACGAAACAATGTTACAAAGTTTAAAGGCAAAAGAGTGAACCCGGTTGACTCACATTTGATCTGGAGGTGAAATAGGATCACATTGATGGTGGGCTTCGCCTCCTGTCTGGTTTTGGTATCGTCCCCCGATTGCTATACAGCCTCCAGGAATAAACCTCTTAACCTACAACCTCATGGGTCAGGACAGGGGTGTCCCACAGCCCCTGACTCTAAAAAGCAGAAAAGAATAGACAGTAACAGACAAATTAGATGATGCACATGTGTCACATGGAAAGCTTGTCGTCACAGAAAAATCATTCCTCTATCCCCTTATAATGTCTAAAAGAGGTAACACAAGCACGGGTATGGAAATGTTTGCCCTTGAAATCAGATCCAATAACGCTTTATCCGACTCCCATATGCTGGTGTTTTATACAAAAGCACAATTGGAAAACTCCAGTGGTGCAAACGGATGTAGCAATCTGGACATACGTGCAAGCTTCTTTTGTATTGACAGAAGAAACTATAGGCATAAAGATATCTTAATTGCTGAAATATTGGCTTGCTGAGTAACTCTGTCTGTAGGTATCTTTCCATGGGCAGAGGAGTGATCTAAATCTAATCCTCAGAAATGAAACCGGCACAGACAGATATCTGTCACAACATCCTGTGAAGTCCATTCAAAGTACAACATTCAAAGTCCCCGGGGAGAATGGTCCTTACACCCCCAAACGTTTCAGTTTCTATGGCGCCTTTTCGGCAGAGCGGAGGTTGACCTATTCGTGTCGAAAGACAACGCTCATGGGCCCAAACCTGGCCCAGCTGCCCGCTTTTCCCCTGCTCTCACTATTACCACAGGTAATCATGAGGATAAGGGGAATGGGCCACTCAATCCTTCTCGTAGCGGCACGATGGGAAAACCAGACCTGGTTCCCAGAGCTGGTGAGGCTGTCGCACATAGCCCCGTGGCCGATCCCGGTGAGGAGAGATCTCTTCTCTCAGGCTGGTGGATTGTTGTGGCATCCCCATCCAGAGCGCTGGTCTCTGCATGCGTGAATAATCAACAGATACCTGTTGCATTGCCAGAAGGGGTCATAAACATAATCTCGCAGTCTAGAGCTCCTTATACGAGATGGCTTTATGCATCTAAATGGTCAGTGTTCTCTGAATCGTGCACTAGTAAAGGCCTGGACCAACGCACTTGTGAGGTCCCATGGATGCTTTCCTTCCTCCAAGAGCTGCTGGACAAGGGCAGGTCTCCTTCCACGCTCAAAGTAAACGTTGCGGCTATTGCGGGGTTCGAGGAGTCAATGCAAACTCATCATCCACGTCCTCAGAGGGGCTAGCAGCCCCCCTCGGTTCCTCTGCCCTGAAAGCTTTCCCCTTTGAACCACTATCCATGGGTACCTCTCGCTCAAAACCGTTTTTCTGATAGCCCTGTCATCGGTAAAACGTGTGGGGGATCTACACTCACTGTCTGTCAGCCCTGCGTGTTTCGAGTTTGGACGTAATGACTCTAAAGTCATACTCAAACCATGGTTACATCCCCAAGACGATTGGCATGCCTTTTAGAGTACAAGTTCAGGCATCCGATAGCGAGGGTGATGGCCAGAAGGATAGTGGACGCTATTGCAGTGGCTTATCCGTCAAAACATTTGCAATGCCCTATGGGCATCAGGGCCCATTCCATTAGAGGCATGGCCTCATCATGGGCTTGGTCCAGCGAGATTTTGATTCACAATATCTGTATGGTGGCAAGCTGGGCATCCCCCTCTACATTCGTGAGGTTCTATAACCTGGAAGTTCCCACCTTGCAGGCGAGACTTTTGTCAGTGTATGTGTATGTTCTGCCTATCTGTCATGTGCAGACCACTCTCATCTCTGCGAGCCTCATATGTAGCCGGAGTTTGTCTGCGTTTCCCTGTGACGCGTCAGTATGCATGCGCCCGTCCGCGTTGTTGGCCTATTTTGTTGTTGGCCATAACAGCTATAATGTGAAATACCTTATCACCATATCAAAGAGACTATTATATCAACTCCCAGTGGATCACTTTTTTTTTGTTGAATAGCACTTGTGTCTATCCATGCTCCTTAGCCATGATGACTATATTCACAAATAACAATATTCAATAAGCAGCTATATTTGTAATGTCTAGCCTTTATTTCCAGCCAAGCAAGTGTTGTTCTACTCAAACAAGGCAAAACAAAAACAAAAACAATTTAATTTAGGAATAAAATCGGACAAAAAAAAATTGGTTATTTAAAATGAAAGGTGGAACCTCTTATCAAAATGGTGATTGGCTCTTTTAACTGTTAGTTGTAGTGGGACTACAACTGTCTCTCACTTGCGAATGAATTATTGTTGCAGTATATTCTATCCATTCTCCAACCCACTTATCCTCTGTAGGGTCGCTGGGGAAACCCCCATGCTGTACCAACCCCGTAAGACATTTGTTCGTCTTCGGAACACAAATGAAGATATTTTTGATTAAATTTGAGAGCTGTATAACTACCACATTGGCTCCTAAAGGACTGCCTCTTGACGGCCCAGAAAGTCAATGAAGAAAATGTTTAAATATCCCAAGTGACTACCGTGGCTCAACTATATGTTTATCAAGCGACGCGAATACTTTTTGTGCGAAAAAAACAAACAAAAATAACGAGTTTATTCGACTATTTCTTTTCTTCCTTGTAGGCCAGAACGAGACTTCCTTAGATTTCCACGACGCATGCGCGAGAATTGCGATCTGAAGTGGTGTAAGCTGGTGTAAGCAGATCGCAATTCTCGCGCATGCGTCGTGGAAATCTAAGGAAGTCTCGTAAACATGTTTCTCAAACCATTCCTGAACAATGTGTGCAGAGTGGCAAGGTGCATTATTCTGCTGAAAGAGGCCACTTCCACCAGGGAACACCATTGTCCTGAAGGGAAGTCATATATATATATATATATATATATAGAGAGAGAGAGAGAGAGAGAGAGAGAGAGAGAAAGAGAAAGAGAGAGAGAAAGAGAAAGAGAGAGAGACTCATCACTGGTGACCTTCTTTCACTGCTACAAAATCCAATTTTAATTGGTCACATGCCCGTTGTAGGTGCTTTCAATGGTGGACAGGAGTCATCATAGGCACTCTGATTGGCCTGCGGCTATGCAGCCCCATACGCAACATGAAACATCTCCCATAACCATCATTCAAATGTTATGTGACTTGTGGCACAGTAGGCCTTCTATAGAGTCGGAACATTTTATGTTTTAGAAGGGTGTTCGCTAGGGCTTTGACTCTGAACTTCGTTATTCAAATAGAATTAGAATATATATAACAAAAAAAAGATATTAGAACTAATATTAGGCAGTCTTTAAACGTACAGTATGTAACCTCTGGCCACCAGGGGTCACTAATCTCTTACAATAAGAAATTTGTATATCGATGACGCAAAGCATCAAGAGGATTTATGGGAAGTTTAAAAGGCTGCATTGCAAATCCACGTTACCAGAAAAGTTCAAAAATAGATTGTAAAAAGAAACGTGACCGGAGTTTACGAAAAACACGAGTTAATGTCGGGATAGCTTTTTCCAGGCGGATAGAGCTAATGCAGGAGAAAGAGTTCAAAAGAGATGCTGAATCCTGCTTTCTTACCGACAGGTAAAGCTTTTTTTCATTGTTTAGTTGTGTACTTTATGATTTAGACATAACATTTATAGTTAAAAGTTGAAGATGATATCAAATGCACGTAGGCTACTTCATAAAATATAACGAATAAAGAAGGCTTAACTACTTATTACTATAGTTCATGTTTTTCACAGTCAGTAATTCATACTGTAATATTCGTTTATTCGTTTTGTCAGGTTGCTGTTTGTTTTTAATAACAAACCTGTTCACCACTCGACGAAGTGCTAATCCTGTCATAGCTTTTTGGTACATAATAGTTACCGTAGATGCAAAGTACATTTCAAAATGCAAGGCGCTGGAAAGCACAATTCGTTGCATTGCATAATACATTTTCACCGCTAGATGGCAGCAATTCCTACACATAGTCCCTTCAATACAATTGAACAACCTGATTAACAAACCGACTGTTGCTCTAAGAAAAAAGGGTTTGATTATAGGGCTTGATTATAAAGGCTTGGTATGTAAGTTTTGAAAACAACGCTTAATCAAAACTAGGGCTGGCCCGAATACCATTTTTTGAGCTTCAAAGCTTCGGTACTAATTAAACATTGAATATTCGACGCTTCGGAATCTCTATATATCTGTCTGTCCGTTTGCATTTTGATTATTTCAAGAACCGTTCGTCCAAACAACTTCACAAGGAAGTGCAGTGTCGTATTTGGTGCAATATACAGGCGAGACGTGACACGTTCAGAATTAATAAACTTTTAATAAAGTACAGAACAGCGCGAGCGGGAAGTGTCTCACGCAAGCAGAGCTTATGCAACGAGAATGGACACTGCAAAACAGACACACACAGGTCTGTTAACTTAGCAATAATTTTATTAAGTTAGTCTAATATTTTTTCACTAACAAATAACTAACAAAGTAGGGTAGATTTAAGTAAAGAAGTGGCGCGCGTGCCTCACGCGAGCAGAGATTATATGCTCCCACTAGTGATATAAAACACACAAACACAGAAAAAGTTTTAATAAGTTATAGTCTTCTCACTGACAAATTACGGTAGACTTAAATAAATAAAAATGAAATTTAAATAAATAAAACCAAAATTTAAATTAATAAAAATGAAATTTATATTAATAAAAACGAAATTTATATTAATAAAAACGAAATTAAATAAATAAGAAATAAAAATGAAATTTAAATTAATTAAAAACCATGTTTAAATAAATAAAAACGATAATAAAAAAACGAATAACTTAAATATAGAAACATTTTTTAATTGACAAAAATTTAAATAAAGAAAAATGAAATTGTGACCTGATGTCTAAAATCTCAAAGTCTCGTAGTAGATTAAATTAGATTGATAATAACAGGTAAAAAGGATAATACATTTTGTTTCTATTATTGTATTTTCCACAATGTCACAGCAACGCAGCTTAACCCAAATACAAGTTAAGGCATGCACTTCTGTCCTTACAAACTCTGCTGCGCTCTAGCCGGAGAATACTCCCGTTGCAGGAACACTCTAGTCCAAGAAGAAGCAAATATATAACAAAGTTATATGCTAAGCATTATATTTCACCCGATTTTATAGTGTAAAACATATTCAAGCACAAATGAGAACCATTTCGAGTGGGATGCCAGGTGTGCAAAAAAAAAAATTTGAATGTCACATTTTCAGATCGAATACCAACCCACCGAACGAATATTCAAATATTCTGGTCAAGCCCTAAACAAAGACGTAGCTTGATGATGCCATGAATGAGTGTGAAATCATGGAAACACAGCCAATGGAAAGCAATCTGATGGTATTCAGCCAGTAATCATGTTCATAGGTGTGCTAATGTATTAAAGTAACACTATGTAGTTTTTAAACCTTCATAATATATCTCCAAGACCCTTGTGATGGTACTTTGACTTACAATTTAAATGACACATCTGCCATAGCCTGACATGGTCTGCATCGCTTTTACTTGCACTATGTAACTTCAGGTTTCGGGTAGTAACCAGAGCACAAAAAGAACTACAAAATTTGACTGCTTTACGGCATACGTCACTTCCCCCCCCCCCACTTCCTCAAATTCGGGCGTGAGAGGCCAACGTTTGTTTTCCGGCTTTTATTTATTTTAAAGCCGGTGTTGGATAAACATCAAGCATGCCCGTGCAACAGTAGGCTGCTCTAGGCTATAGGACAGCGGTAATGGACAATTCCGCTTCCAAACTGTAGGGCGGCGGCAGAGAAAAAGTTCCTTGGTGTTGCTTTAAAAGTTTTATTAACGTTACTGTGGGGTATGAAGTGTTGACCTGTGGTGTTTTACGTTGCTGTTTTTATTATGCTCGTATGCCTCAGTCAGCTGCTGCAGCTCCTTTCGATTTGTTGTTTGTTTATTTTACAATTTAAGTCACATTTCACATTTGCCTTCTTCTTCCCTGTACTTTGTTATATTTGATCACTAAAATTCACAATATTTTATTTCATTCTAATGAAACAGCCACAAGCGTTTATGAGGTCACTTTATCTAATTAAGTCAATTGTGGGGTAACACAGTGCTGTTTTACTTGATTAAAACAATCATACTAAAAAATGTGTTTTTTAAAGTTATGTTAACATTACTCTGTGCGGCTGGTATGAGACACTCACATCACAGTAAGATTGATATTAGAACATCATACTAGAATATCATTGCTCCCTGCTAATCAATAGCTGCACACAGCTCCAGGTGTGCGTCCATGGTTTGCAGTGTGTGTTCCCTACTCACTTATATCTATACTAATGTTTATGCACTAACTTGGATAGGTTAAATACAGAGAACAAATTCTGTTTATTCCGTTCCGTTTCTGTTTGCCATACTTGGCCTTTCACATCAAACAAGCAAGATGAATTGTGTTGCAAGTTGTGTTGGGGCTTGCAATTAATTTTCATAATCTATTGTGTGGTGAAAAACAAGGGATTCAAACAATAACACTAACACTGTTTAGTTTATAAAGATATCCAAACAGTTGCTCACCTGTCTAAAAACACATAATATATTGTATTTGGGGTTTCCATGGTTTCTAAAATCGAGGGTAACAGATTATGTATCATTGACAGGGGATGCAATGACACATCGTTACACTGGTTAAAATCGCTGATTTCTCTGCATTTTATTATTCTTATATAAACATTTTGATACACACAAGTCAGTCAAATAAATAATATTTTTATATTTTATTGTTGGTTATTTTCATAAAAAAAAAAATCATATTGTGCCTTTAACACCTCCTAAAACTATTTTTTTCTTATGTAGATTAACTTTCACTCTTTTTTTCACCACAAGACCAGTAATGTGCGCTAATAAAGTCAGTGTTGTAAGAAGTGTTATGTAAGAAGATACGTTACTTTAACATTATTACTAACTTTAGACCTAATAGAAACAATCACAGATAGAAAAGTGTGAATATCAAAAACCTAACCGATTATTGGTACAAAAGTTACAACTATTTATCTCCCGAAACAACAGTTATTTCACACGCAAAACATGTTTCAAGATAACATTTTTGAAAGCTGTTAACTTGACTAGACTTGTTCTAAAATAAGCCCCAGGTCAAATTTGAATGCGTTGCAAACCTATGGTTGCAAACAGCTGCGCATTGCGCATTGTGGTTGTTGAATTTCAAATGCACGGCTGCCATGACAACGCGTTTGTTTTGGATTAGCGCTGTTCGACCAGATTCTGCAGCTTTGCAATAGAAACTTCTTTATTTTTACTAGCTTTTGTTTTGGAGTGTTTAGAGGTTTAGTATTTTTTAAATAACGCACAATCCATGTCCCTTTGATCTGACTATGACTTCACGATAAGTTAAATATAGAGTAATGTGTAACATTAAGCATGCACAGAGGGGTGACAACCGCGAGACAAGAAACGTGGATTCTATCTATCTATCTATCTATCTATCTATCTATCTATCTATCTATCTATCTATCTATCTATCTATTAAAAAAACAACATTAGGCTTCGCTTATAAATGCGAACACCGAAATTAAAAGGCAAATGTCGTGCGCTGACCAGAGGAAAAATACTGTAAATGTACGTTATATAAATACAATGCCTTAATTAAAATACATAGCCTCTCTCGGCATTCACAGGCACAATAAATAAAATTCGAAATACATGTTTGACATTTAACGTGAGTGTTTTGATACGCTTACCAATGCTTCAGCAAATCGGTCTGCTTGTTTAGTTGTTTTTGTTGTTGATCCGTTGCTTTGTTGGTGAACAAGAAGCTCTACCGTAGTTACTTCCTATTGGCGAAACAGTGTTGTTGTTTTGCACTGCAGCCTGATGCTCCAGTACAGAGGGTGGCAGCATTACACCACAGACATGAACGTTTCTTACGTTTCGATATGAGCTGTTTGTTTATAAAAAAAAACATGTTTTACTTTTTTTTTTTTTTACCACGAGACATCGGCAAATATAATGTATTCTAAACAAAATATTAACCCTTTGTCTGTGGCATGAATTTTTATTTCTACACCCTATTCCCTGACAATTTATCTATCATAAAATTCCAACATCATACATTGGTTTGTTGCCTCAAAGTATATTCTAAACCAATACATATTACATTCACAAAAGTTTGTGGTCAAAAGGGAAGTCTTATAAATATACATGGGTGTAAAATAAATCTACTCTGAATAATAAATAAATACATACATTTTATATTAAAATATTTAGTTTATTTTGAATTTTTTTTTAAATGAGTTCTGTGTCTAAATTTAGTTTTATTGACTTTTATTTTTTTTTGTTTTGCCAATAGCTAGTTTGTATATCTGTTTCTTAGTCCCCCCCCCCCTTCTGTTTCTTTTGCCTTTTTTATTTTAAGAATACAAAACAACTCTCTAAAATGAATTGCTGTCTGAAAAAGTAGACAAAGTGATGCCAAGGTTACATATGAGCAACAATAAAAGAATATGTCAAAACTCTGACAAACTAATAAATTATTAATGGCTTAATAGTTAGATTAATATTTTATACTATAATTATTAATAAATTGTGTCGTTTGCCATTACAATTATTCTGTAGAGAGTGTGGGGGGGGGGGGTGTACGATTTGAAAACTAATTGCAATAGTTTTATCAACAAAGTGCTTATTTTTATTTTAATATAAATACGCATACATATGTGTTTTACTATGGTTTTACTACTAGCTGTATTGCTGATTGCTATTTATAGTAGTGTGACACTGTCACACATGGCACATGTTTTAACCACTTTATATTTAATTTTTAATGTTTAACATTATAATGATTTTATGTATAAGTTTTAATGCCATTTTAAAACTGACGTAGACAACGTTTTACCATACATTAGCAACAATGAGCTAGCTAGAACAAAGCAGATACTGGATGAATACTGAATAACTATATACTTATATTTGTTATATATTTAAATGGAAGATATAGTAAGAAAGAATAGTGTTATGGACAGCATGGGTGAGATTCTCTGGTGCCATTCAGCATAGCGTATGTGTGCTAGCATACATTTGGAAAGATAATGTTTGTAATGACTCTCCTGTCTGAAAGGTGGCACTATACCTTCTATGTTACTTAATCCACCTTGTAATTTGCGATGAAGAAGTAGAGGAGGAAGAGTCCGCGTGGAAAACAAAACATTGCGCCAAAAGTTATGTACGAAACACGTGCAAGACCGTCAAGAGGTAAGTTGTAACTTTATTTTTGAAAAGCACGTTATTCTATCTGCCTCGTCATTTTTTTTTATTTGCTTTTTAAAGAATGGATGGAATACAGTCAGATTTGCGTAATAACATAATGGGACACCATAATGAGGAAACGTTGAAGAAGAGGAAGAAGAGAAAGAAAAACACGAATTTACTTGAACTCACTGAAAGCTCAATGTGCAAACTGAGAAGCACAATGAAAAGAAACATAAGAAAACAAACAGTGGAGAATTGGAGAATATAAGTCTGCAGACACATACAGTTAAAAAGAAAAAAAGAAAATTAAACGAAGGAGGCGAGGTTGCCATTTTTGAGGAGGCTGCCATTTTTGAGGAGGCTCCTTCAATCATGGATGGTGGTGTCACAAGCCTGCATCAAGTAAAGGACATGAAAAGACCCACAGCAGAGTCACAAGAACTGAAAAAGAAAAAAAGTTCAACTGAAGAGAAGTCTGCTAAAGCAAAGAAAAAGAGAGAAAATGTAACTGAGATAAACTGTGATCACATGGCGCAAGAAGAACAGGAAAGTGGCGTACCTGCCCTACAAACTGGTACTGTAAAGCGCAGAAAAAAGAAAAACCGTTTGGAAGAACCATTAGTTGATCCAAATCTCCTGAATGAACTGAAAGAATTTTGTCCTAAAATAGAATCCAAAGACCCATCTGAAATCAATAAAATGATCGTTTATGACCTGCCAAGGTTCAGAGAATTCAGAAAGCAAGGTAGGCTGATTTGATCAAATGTTTGTAGTATTTTTGATTTTTCAATTTTAAGCCTGCTTGGAAGGAGACTTTTATTATTACTTTTATTTGTGTGAGTGTGTGTCTGCATTACACACACATATTTACTATTTTATCACAATACTGTAATATATAATATAATTTTGTCTTTTACTCTTATGTCTGCAGGCATCATGTTGAGACATGGAAGATTCTCAAATGCAGAAAATGAAAGGTTAAAACAGAACGTTAGTGATTTTGTCGCTCTCACAGGAGTGAAAGATGCTACCAAGCTCTTTCATCCAAAAATGTTTCCAGAAGAGAAATGGGAATTGACAAAGTTGAAAAAGGTCTACAGGTTTTTTGAAAGGATTGGTAAGTCTCAACACATTGGTTTTACCTTTTTGGTAATACTGTGTCTATAGATGTTGGTTTTGTTTTTGAAAGTTTTATGCTTATCATCCTTCTGCACTATTACATTTTTTTGTAGACACACAATCAAAGCCTTTTTCAGACTGAGAGCCAAAATCCAGTTTATGTGCATAATATCCATTTGGAATATGTTCATAATTATCAAGTGTGAAGGCAAAAAAAAAAAAAAAATCTCATACAATTTTACTAATCCGTTTCCATATGTGATTTGGAATCCTGTCCACATCTCACCCTATTCATATTTGGCTACCATACAAATCCACCAGTCACTGCTAATCGGCCTGGTCTGCAAACCTTTTTGAGACCAATGGAGACAGTAGTGCATATGCTGTGCATATCAGCCTCCTACGTTTCTGCCACTGGTTCAGTAGTTATCCAGCATGCGGCTCCGCCTTGGCATGTTAAGACAACATTTCAAATGTTTTTGGTGAATGGCTACCAACGATGTCCTTGCCATAGAAACCAAAGCAGATACTCCAGAGAGAGTACCATGGGACACATACAATGAATCTGAAATCGCACCACTCTGCACATTTCGACGGTGTAATTGAAGGAGACTTAAAATTGAGAAAGCCTTGAGAAAAACTAAATTTCTGAACACATGATGAGAAGCAGTAGATGTTTTTTAAAATACAGATTACATTATTTCATATATCAGCATAAACATATCTAGCTAACATTTATCATTTATTTACAGCTGAAATGTTAAATATGAAATTGCACAAATATTTTCATAACAGTATTTGCCACCTGGAATGAAGAAAGTGGTCAGCATGATTGAAAAGTGCTGCTTTGTTTATGGTTTATATATCTGCAGTCCTATTTTCATTTTCTTTCATTTTCACTTTTTGAATGACAAATATAGACTGTTGATACCTGTGAATATAGATGGTTATTTCCTTACACACAGGCGCAGAATGCACATGTTAGTTGGCAGTCGCCTATTGGTTTGTTAAAATGCAGAGGCGACAACCAGAGGCGGAAAGAGTACTGAAAATTTGTACTTTAGTATCTAAAAAGTATCTAAACCGCCACATACTGTTTACTGCCATTTATATATATATATATATATATATATATATATATATATATATCTCACTTTTTGTTCTTCCATTTTGTCAAGTCAATCCGATTGAATAGAGCTGTTTAATTCAAGTCTTCTGAGGAGACACGTCCGCTTTAAGGCCCGTACACACCGGGACGAATATCAGCGCGCGTTATTCGTCAGCGTTTTTCAACGCGTTTTTTGTGTTCACACCCAAGCGTTTTTCGCTGACGATGAGCCGAGTGAACATGCAAATTCATTCCCTGACATTAGATATGGTGCTTAATGAACAGAAATAATAATAATAGAATACTATACTAGGGTAATCATATTCATGTCTCAATGTTTTATTATGACAGATTAAAAAAAAAATGAAATAATGATAGAAATAATATCTTCTGTATTAGAAAAATAAATAAATAACTAAATGAAATGCCTCCAAATGTAACAAAAATAGCTCTCACAAACTTACAAAAACGAACTAACAAAATCTATTTATATCTTTAGTTTACATTCTCTTTATCTTGTTTTTCTTCCTCATTCACCTTGTTTGCCCATCTATATTTTGCTGTAGAACTGATCTTTCCCAGCAGTTTTTTTGAAAACCAGGACATTTTCATCACTTAAAAACAGCCAGGACAGGACGCGGAAAGTGAAACAGGACGTGTGTAACGCAAAGTTGAGATGTTGCCCATGAGATAATAGCACTAGTTGTCGGATGAACAGATGCACGAGAGTTGTCGTATTTCCCCGCGTTTAATAAAACCACTCAAACGTTATACTCCTCCTCATACATGGGGATCGACCGAGGAAAACAAAAACACAAACAAACATCTGGTCACAATAGAAAAATAAAATAAAATAAATAATACAAAGAGTCGGCAGAGCGGTTATCTCCTCTCCTCACTTGTCAAAATCTAACTGACACTATACGCACACTATGCGCAGTTCTCATCTCAACTCAGATTTCTATAAAGCACAAAGTGACCGTTTTACACATGTCCCGGGAAAACAGGACTGTTGGTCACCCTATACTATACTATTAATACAGAAATACTATTATCATATAGCTCTTTATTCTCCGAGACCAGCAGCTCAACATTCATCTTGCCCATAGGTATCTTATCTCTTCTTCGCCGCGTATGTGTGCTCGGCAAGACCGTTTTGTGTTTGACCGCCCCAAGTTGTGCTTTACTGTAACTTCAGAAGTACCAGACATGTGGAGATGGTCCTCACTGCGGAACATGAAATCCATGGGGAGGAGTCGGATCCAGATCCAACTCCTCCCACCTTACATACACCTAAACCTAACCAACTCCGCCCCCTGATACCTAAACCCACCCCTAATCCCTAAACCCAACCCTAATCCTACCCATCTCCACCCCTTGGATCGTGATCCGACTCCT